ATGGAACGAAGTCGTAAATAATGACGAGAAGAACATCACTGATCAGTTTTATGCTTGGCTTTGCTTTTGGGTTTTGCTTTAAACGTTTTTGCCAAATGCGAGCGCTACGATATTATGCACCGACCCAATATCAGCACGATTGCCTAGGTTTCCCAGTCCGGCACACATGCACAAGTTTCCAAGTCTGGAGTCGCGTCCTACTCTAGATTCTAAAGCGATGGTGCTCCGTATAGTTGGCGACCATATTCTCGTCGTGGCTCTCGTCGTGGAGTGCGCAGAGAAAACGATGAAAACGAGTCGATAACATGTGACTCTGTGCGCCCCATCGCGAGCGTGGCTACGGTGGAACCTACGCAACCATACTGAGAAATCGTTTCTGTGCAGGAAAGCCATGGGACAAAGCCTAACGGAGAGGGACGAATCCCGTAGAGAATGAGAATTGCTTACGCACTCGGATTCCCTCTTCTCCTCTGAAATCTAGTCCTTGAACTGAGCGTTTATGTAAATCTGACACAATATTACGGCTGGCCCCACCAAGAGGTAGATTTCGGATAACCATTATCTAACCTCTTCTTCAACTATCTGTTGGTAGGCGATGAGCTCTTCGACCATTCGGTGAATCTCCCCGTTTATAGTCGTTTATAGTGTGACTCTATTCACTACCAGGTTTTCTGCTAGATTTTCGTCAACCTCATGACAAGCAATTTCTTTATCGAAAAGCGATTCAAACTCACATCAATCGTTGGGCGCTTTTTCTGAAATCAGTCAAGTTGAAGTGATGCATTCAAAATAGCTCAATTTTGATCGACCTAGTAGGTCTGCGATTTTTTTATGTGCTCAGTGCTGCCGCAATACAGCTGAAACTTATAGTAGCACCAACCCACCCAACCCGCTGCGCGCCCAGCTCATTGCGAGCACTTCAATTCTTCTTCCCAGCTAGTCTTCACAGTGGCGGCCAGAAAACGAGACCCTCCACTTCACATTCAGATCTGGATATTTACCCTTTGCCTGATTCAATCCTAATGATCTCGAGTGGAAATCAAAGAGCACTTTCCGGTCTTTCGGAGCACCTGATGATAGCCGTCTACCCCGATGATATCGCAAGAATTCGCTAAGGGAATAGAATATGGTGCACGGGTCGAGCTCAATGGGGTCCACGGTGCATCACTACGACGTTATCTGAATCCTAGTCGAAAGGGGTCTCACATGACCAGAGCCAGTTTCTCTTGGAAGCTATCTATCACCTAAACGATTCAGCGTTCAAACGATTGATGCAACTGCTTCAGGCTAGAGCATTTTTAGGAGGCCTCCTTGAGCTCGACCATGACGGCAGATGACGTCATATTCTGGAGACGGTGAGGGCAGTGAAGGAGGGCTGCTTCTGCTTATAGGGGACATTTAAGGAATATTCTGCCGTAAAACTTAAGTAACAGCAGCAGTTGTGCGATGAAAAGTTTGACGATGTGTGCCATAAGCATGTCACTCCTTCTGCCCCTCCCTGTATCGTATAGTGGGGGAAAATCCTTGGGATATATCAGCAGTTCAGAAAAGGCCTGCGTCTTCTCCCCATCCGATAGCCCTCAATATTTTTCTACATTCTTGCAATCATATAAATCCGATGTTTTGAGTTCAATTCGCTGGACCTGCTCATACTCAAGTAGTTCCTGAGGCAAGTCAATCTTGCCATGCCTTCTGTAGCGCGCGGTTCTCGAACGAAACAAATGTTGCTGAGGCGAGCGTCTTACTAGTGAGTGCCTTTCCGTGTGTTAATCTTCTGAATAATTGTCCAGGATCGACCTTCTTTTAATCTTGGCATAGTTGGATCAGATGAGTGCTTGATTGTAGCCGTCCAAGATTAGTTAACTTTATTAGGCAACGTTTCGGCAACTTCGCCTTCGTCAGAGCCTTGATGAACGCCGCCGTGACGCGAGGGCGACCACCCTCGAAGGACTTGGCTTGAGCTTTAGCTCTCTGTTTGTAAACACACTTCACAAAAGCCATTTTCAGCTTCTTATTTCTGCCAACAAAGAGTCACTCACCTCACGGATAGCAATTGCTGAAGCTTCCTGAAAAAGCTGATGATCAGCTGTTCCAAATTGTTCTAGATTATGAACGAAACTTTGAAGAGTTTTTTCCGTCATAGAATCTGGCAAAAAACCGCTATGACACACCTCAGAATCCTCAAGTCGCGGTTTCTTCTTCCATTTGAGCTTTCTGGAAGTAAATTATCAGCGTAGAGTCGCTCTGCACGAAGATGAAGACAGGAATCTAGTAGTAGGCTAGCAACCAGCTACAGAAGGATGCAGCTAATTGCTCTATGCAGCACGGATGTCCCCCAAGAGACCCAATGAAGAGACGCAGACGCGGCAAAGGACGAGTCGCAACGCGTGCAGTGCGATATGAGACGTAGAAGGTACACCCTGTTTAACCTGACGCCTAACCGCTACAGTATCGCACCTTGCCGCGTCTGCGTCTCTTCCTTCGCCGCGCGATGGCTCATCGGACACCTAAATGCAGCCACTCAAAAAAACTCACTGTTCTTTTTTGCAAATATAGGTCGACCTTCCTCTGCATTTCCAATCAGGAATAGCATTCTCATTCGTATCCTAAACGAAAGATCCTACCTAAATAGTTAAATTTCCTCGATTCGGTTGAACCTATCATAGCAGAATCCAGAGCACGCTATCTCTGATTGAATAACAGCAAAGGTACCGAAGTCCCCGCGTGCGTCCCTCAGGGAACGGCAAATGGAATTCCATTCATGAAATAAAGTACATCCAAAATTCATGAATTGTGCAGGTTTGTGATTGACAGACGTCTACTTTCGGAAAAACAAACCGAATTTATTCGGAACTCCGGGAAAATCTCCCTCTATAAACTAAAAAAACTAGCGAACTCACGCCACAACACCAACCCCATTGTGAGTTTATATCTTTTTTCAAAAACGGTATTCATCGGAGATGGATCCAAAATTATGAAAAACTACGAAATAATTATTCCAAATTTTGAAACTTACAGAAATATTCAAATCCTCAAAAAACTCATCCGTTTGTGTCACACTAATTTTTCGACATTCAAAAAATTGATACTTCCCTTCTTTCATTTTGGCAAAGTTCGCACTAATAAAATAGAATAGCGCTCTCAAACAAGCACCCATCGCCCAAAACCCCTCCTTTCAGA